AGCCTCCTTCGGGAGAGGGAGAGGGAGAGGGAGAGGGAGAGGGAGAGGGAGAGGGAGAGGGAGAGGGAGAGGGAGAGGGAGAGGGAGAGGGAGAGGGAGAGGGAGAGGGAGAGGGAGAGGGAGAGGGAGAGGGAGAGGGAAGATATGCCTGCCATTGCGCGAGGAATCTGCCATAGCGACAGACTGATCAAAGGCACCGAGAAAGACTTTGATCAACTGGGGCTAACTCTGGATGCCAGCGGAAGATATGTTCTGAGATACTCAAAGAATGGTCGGTTCTTTGCTCGCTCGATTTGCAATCACCAGATTCTGTGGGAGAGTGATGTGCGGGTAGAAGCGGTGGATGTAGAAGAGATTGTGAAGGCGATGACGGAACAGAAACAGGCGATTCACATCAACACGGCAACGCATGGGACGAAGGATGGAAAGTTCTCCTGGGATATGATAGACCCGATCGAGTTTTATTACGAAGACGTCAAAATGGTTGAGGCCATGGAAAGAGATAGCCAAGTTTCCATACACAGGGTGACGTCTCAGAGCCCGCCGTTTGCTCCGCTCAATGCAAATGTGATAATAAACGCCTGGTGCTATAGTCATCAGTACGACTTTGCTAGCAAGGTTGACCCTGCAACAGGAAAGATAAAAAGCATATGGTGGGATGACATTCCAAAGCTCTTCCGCCAAAACCTTAGGGTGACGGCCAATGACGACAGCGTATACGATGCTCTGGAAGGATATGTCGAAAACAAATGTTCTGCAAGTGATCCTGAAATATATGAGCGAAGTGGGAGGCCTTCCAGTGAGGTCCTTGAGGAATTTTTGGAGAGCGATGAAAAACAAGTGTTACTTCTTCTGGGAAATGCAGGAGCAGGCAAGTCGACACTTGCAAAGCGATGGGCAATCATGCTGGGGGGCAGATGGAAGGGGACGACGCAGACCTGGTATCCGGTCTTCCTTCATCTTCCGAGCTGCTCTAGTGTGAAGAAATATTTCAAAGAAGTGATCGGTTGTCAGTTCTTGGAGTCTGATTGGAACACATGGATGAGTAGCATTTCACTTTTCTTTGTGCTTGACGCATTCGACGAGATGTCGATCAAGGACAACGTGGTTGAACAAATCTTCAAGGAAGTAAAGTTGTGCAAACGATGCAAGGCAGTCGTGACGTGTCGAAGTGACTTGCTGAGGGGGAATAGCCGAGCGGAGAGTTTGTTTTGGCCACAGTCGAAAGGTGGGAAGCACGATCTGGAGATTGTCTGGTTGTGTCCTCTCAGCTTGTCCGACAAGAATCAACTAGATCAGTACATTGAGCGTCACGCTGCTAAGAGCATCGACAGCTGGAGCAAAGAAAAGTTTCAGCAGACCTTTGAACTCAAGCCCGAACTTTTGACTGTCGTCAACACACCATACGCGTTGAAGATTTGTCTCGAGATCCTTCCTAGTATTTTGGACGCCGAACCTCAGAAACACCTTTCTCAATCCATGATATTTCAAGGATACATAGAAGACTGGTTTAGGCGCGAATGGCATAAGCTGAAAGAATTCGACTTTCTCACGAACCAACGACGCATAACAGGCATGGACGATATGAACTATTTCAGGAAATATTGGGATGCGGCACAAGCTTTGGCGGTTCATATGCAAAGAAAAGGCTGTTCGCAACTAACGATTTTTGACAAAGACTGCAACGAATCCCTGGCAAGAAACTCCTTCTGCTTGTCTTTGAGTGAACCCCAGGAGAAGCAGCTGGGTCTTTATATTCTGAAAGGTTGTCTAGTACAAATAAGGAAGGCATCATCGAACAAAGAAGATACTAGAGAAATCAGTTTCGTCCATGACATCTTTCGAAGTTTCTTCCTTGCCAGCTCAATTATGGAAGAGCTCAAAGAGTTGAAAGATTGTGATACCGGGAGCATTCTCGGTCTGCGTATGCTGAACGAGGATACAGAAACGATCAAGCGTTGTGCTGAACTGTTGACTACCAATGTTGACTGCAAAAAGCGATTGTTCGATATTATAGAAGCTTCGAGACTCCGCTCAGATTCATTTTCTATCACAGCTTCAGCTAACGCAGCTTCCATCTTGACGGCAGCTCGCGTGCCATTCTCGGGCTTAGACCTTCACGGTGTTCGAATCCCAGGAGCAGTACTGAGGAATGGAATCTTCCATCGAACCAACTTGAGCAGAGCAGACCTATCCCGTGTGAATGCAGCTCATGCATACTTGTATGAGACTCGACTGGAACAAGCTCAGCTGAAAGATGCCTACTTTGGCGAGGAAACAATACTGGAATCCCTCGACAGCAATCGAAAGATTCGTTGCGGAAGACTTGGGCCTCTTGGCAAGCATTGTGCTCTAGCTTATCATGATGGCAGAGTGGATATATGGGACTTAGAACTGAAAACGCTCCGTCACAGCTTCTATCCACAAGTTAGAGACATCGTTTTCATGTGTTTTGGGCCTGATGAGAAGACGCTGGCTTTAGAACTTCGCGACTCGTTGGTTGAAGTTTGGGAAGTAGAGACTGGAGAGCTGTTGAGAAGTTTTCCGGTACAAGGAGCAGAGATTCAAATGATGAGTCTAGGTGATGGCAAGAAAACGTTGACGCTTCACGTTCAAAGCCTTGTTGTGACGCAACTGGATGTAGTAAATGGGAAGGTCCGTTATGAGATGGCAGTGCCAAGAGGTAGGTTTACGAAGAGATGGTTCGCCATGGACGGGAAGACTTTCTTTCTTTTGATGGACGATGGCACTATGGAAGCTTGGGATGTGCAGACAGGGGAAATTCGTTACACGGTTGGTGATGTTGTGGATTTTGATGTTGGCAAGGAAAAAATAGCTGCGATATTGATTACTTGGGAAGTGAAAGTTTGGGACATCAAGACCGGGCAACCTCTCCATACGATATTGCCGACATCGATGCCTACTGTTAGACCCGACTGGAAATACAACTTGCTTTTGGCACCAAATGGAAATACTCTGTTTCTCTTCACTTTGTCTGGGATGCAAGAAATAATGCAAGTGTGGGACGTAGAGACTGGCGAGATTCGAGGTACCATCAGAACAGCAGATGGAAGCATCGCCGACAAGTTGAGCATCAGTGAGGATGGGAGGACTGTCGCATTTAGAGTCAAAGATGGCGGAATAGAAGTGAGAGACGTCGAGTCAGGGGAGCTGCGCCAAATGATAAAGCCACAAGGTGAGGAGATGAAAAGTTTTCAAGTATCTCCTGACGGGACCGCCCTTCTCTTGCACATGTCAAATGGAAGTATAAAAGTTTGGGACATAAGTAGTGCAATGCTCTGCACTAGTTTTGAATCAGAGGATCGACCAATATCGCAGTTTTGTTTTCAGTGGGACATTCACGCCGTTGCGTTGCTTTCGGGTAACGTTGTAGAGGTTAGAGACATAAGGACTGGGTCGCTTTCTCGTGCATATCACTTGCAGGACGCTATGGATGATGTAGGAGAGTTGAAGTCGGGCACCGATGGATTGATCTTCTGGATTGACAACGTCAATGATCGGCTAGAAGTTTTGGACATCAAGACCGGCGACCTCCATGAGGCACAACTCGATTATGTTTCTGATATAGCACTTGGGTGCAATGGGAGATTTATTGCGTTTAGTTTTGAAGATGGAAAGATACAAGTGTGGGACGTAGAGACTGCCGAGATTCGAGGTACCATCAGAACAGCAGATGGAGGCATCGCCGACAAGTTGAGCATCAGTGAGGATGGGAGGACTGTCGCATTTGAAGTCGAAGATGGCGGAATAGAAGTGAGAGACGTCGAATCAGGGGAGCTGCGCCAAATGATAAAGCCACAAGGACAGAAGATCATTGATATCAAATTTGGACCTCAAGAGAAGTTCTTAGCTTTGAGATCAAACACTGGCAGATTGGAACTTTGGAATGTTGAAACAGGGCAATATCTCAAAGAATTGAAAGGAGACTCCGTCCACATCGACGTAGTTTTTGTCGATGGTTCCATCCTGGCATTATCACCGCAGGGGAGAGTAGAAAAGCAAGATTTTCAAACAGGTCCGCGCCTTCAGACCCTTTCAGAGCAGGGAAGCTCGGTGATCAATGCAATTTTCAGTCCAAATGAAAAGTTTCTTGCTCTATTGCGTGGTGATGATCGTCAATTGATTGAGGTGTGGGACATCGAAAATGAACAACTTCTGCATCCTCAATCTATTCAAGTAAGTAATGACGATAAAGCAAAGTTGGAATTTGGACCGAACGGAGATACAATATTGTGGAGTTTCTTCAATGGGACCCAATTTGTCACAGAAGTTTTTGATACGAAGACAAGGAGGGTTCATCGTACGGGTGTTGCACAAGACGTTGTGAATGTTCAGGTGAAGAAGGCCATATCTCAACCCATACATGGGAAAATTACATTAGCATATGATGGCAAGAGTATGTGGAGGGTAAATGAGACGAGTGAGGACATTGTAGCTGTGTTAGAGAGGCATGCTGCAGCATGTATTAGACATGCTAATGACACTTCATCAGCAGAAGCGAGCGAGCAAGTATCCAAGGAGCAGACGTTGCCAATCCCGATCCTCCATATGGAAAATCCAAGGAGTCCTTTCAATATCTCTCAGTTCCACGACAGACAGTGAAACTCGCACACTTCTCGCCAGATCAGAACTCAATCATCTTGCGGCTTTACGACAGAAGCGTCGAAGTTTGGGACTCGAAAGAGCTGAAGCTTCGATATGCCATCAAACCTCAGGGAGAATGGTTGGTTGCAAACCTGTGGTTTCGTCAAGAGAGCAACAAGCTGGTGTTAATCATGGCTGATGGGAAGGTGGAGGTGAGGGACCTCGGTACAGGGAAACTTCAGCACATTCTCTGTCCGTTGGCAGGAGGAGAAACCGAAGATTTGCCAAGAACGCCTCTCAATCTGAGTCCTGGGCATGACGGACAAACCATTTTGATCCAAGGAGAGAAGATCGGGTTAGAGGTTTGGGACATTCAGACAGGAACCCGCCGGCAGGTGCTCGAGGCGCACGATGAAGACTTGATCAGGGACTTTTGGGTTGGACCTCAGAAATTTCTTCTTACCTCCTCTCTGGATGGCTTCCTGAAGGTTTGGAGGTACTGCGACGACGGGTACTTCCTGCTGAGTTTCGATCTCAGTCATCGAGAAAGGTCCCTGGTCTGCAAGGGAGCATCGGTCAGTGAAGACATGATCTCGGAGTCGCAGAAGCGTCTCCTCAAAAGCAAGCAGGCAATCATCAAACCTAACAGATGGCTCAATGTTCCTACTGCTTGGGCTGGACCTGTGAACAAGATTCGTAGTCTCCTAGGCTGGCTTGATTAGTAACAACATAGTGAATTCAGATTGAATGAATGATTCGATACGGTTTGCTTGATTAGTAACAACACAGTGAATTCAGATTGAATGAATGATTCGATACGGTTTCATGTGCTTGTAATGCTGCCAGCGTTGCTCTATCATCTATCACAATTGTGCAATTTTGCGCCATCGTTGTGGCATTCTAGCGTAGACAAAGAATAGCTGTATGTTGACAAAATGTGCGATGAATTGACCTACCATTGATCTCTCAGCGATGGCAAGTAGATCAGATCTGTCAGCCATGGCAAGTAGATCAGATCTGTCAGCCATGACAAGTAGATCAGATCTGTCAGCCATGGCAAGTAGATCAGATCTGTCAGCCATGGCAAGTAGATCAGATCTCTGAATCTGTCTTGACACACCTGATGGAAGGCTGGAATGGGAGAGGATGGCAAAGAAGGAGATACAAGGAGGGAGGAGGCACACGAGCAACAACCGTGAGGGGTTTGTGAAGAAACAGGATGTGGCAAAGACTCGATGATTGTTCTATCTCTCTCGGCAACTGTGTTGATTGGATGCAACTGTGTTGATTGGAAGCGGACTAGGTTGCAGCATCAGGAGAGCCTTCGCCGTACTGAGCAACATGAATGTGACTGGCGACTGGAGGATGAATTACATCTGATCGAAACATGGAAAAATTGACGGAAACATCGCATCAGCTCTACTGTCAGTGCTCAACCAACCCTCTCCCGGCAGACTCAACTTGCAAACTTTGCAATGAGCATCCAAGATGTCAAGCGGGTACCGCCGACGCACTCTCGCCTCTCTTAGCAAGCCTCTTATCCTTCATGTCTCACAGCATTTGTCACTGAGATGAACGCAGATGCTTTATCAACCCTATGATATCTGCATCCTCTTTGAAATTCGACATCAGAGAGATTGAATGTATCTACAATCATGGAGATATGAAGAATGTTTGATCTAGAATGTATCTACAATCATGGAGATATGAAGAATGTTTGATCTAGAATCTGAGCACCTGCAACTTTGTTGGCCCTCTCCCTTCCACATCGATGAGCTTGAAAAGCTTCTCGCCACACCACCAAGTTGTAAACATGGAGAACTCTAGCACTGATCGCAGCGCTGCATTGGACGAGGAGGATCGCATCAACCTTCTCGTCAAGGTGCAAGGATCCAACAAGAAGAGAGCAAGGGGAGAGTACGAAGCATCCAAGGTTATGTTCAGCGGAGCCCCAGGGTAAAGCCCATATTACAGCTTAAAACATCTTAAAGATGTTCAACTAACCTAAACCATTCTCCACTGCTCCCTCCAGCCCCTACGGCACTGCCCTCACTGAGGACTCTGTCTCTCTCTGTCTCTCTCTCTCTCTCTCTCTCTCTCTCTGTCTCTGTGTCTCTCCCTCTCCCTGCCCCCCGGCTGAAGTCTCCCACTACTCTGACTGTATCAGGTCCTGTGGATTTGTTTCTCTCTAGTGCATGCTCGGCCGGCCCATTCTGTGCGCCGCTCGATGGTCGAGGCCATGCGCATGCAGTAGCAGCTGCCTCTGACGACTTGAGTTGCAGAAGAAGTCGTCGCCGTCCTCATGCGGCTGCCGTCGCTACATCCGCGCGTCTGCTGCGCATTCGCATCACTGCCATGGAGACATTCATTGCGGGTTGTCGGGGAGATCTCGTTCCGTTATTTTGGAACCGTCAGACACGCAAGCCATGGCGGAGGTGAGGGGAGCGTGAGGGAGGTGGAGGCGGGGAGGGGAGGAGGAGAGCGACGGATCTTGCGAGGTCGCCATGCATCTGACATGAACATCCGGACACGATCCTAGCCGTGCCGAGCTTGCGTTCCTAGATGCTGCCCCTGCATTGACACCGACCCCCCCCCCCGCCCCCCGAGATGCTTCGATAGGAGGCATGCTGTTATCATTGCGGGGGGAGGGAGGAGGTAGAGGCTGCTGAGTGATGCTGTGTGACATGCATGAGGTTTCATCCCGTAGATCGTGCGCCCTGCCCTCTTGACATGTCTGACAATCGGTTCCAGCTCAGGAGCAGGAGCAAGCGCAGCAAGGATCCGGGGGATTCCGTCGCCCGACCGGACGGGGACGATGGCAAGGACAAGAATGTCAAGGACGAGAGCAACAGGGAAGTATTTCCTGTGTACGAGAACTCTCCCGCAACGACAACAGCAGGGATATTCGTGATAGCAGCCGTCTTCTCAGTCTATGTCGCGACCATGTACCCTACGGTCCCAGGGGGCGACAGCGGGGAGTTGATAGTGGCAGGGTGTACAGCAGGGCTAGCGCACCCCCCTGGTTATCCTCTCTTCACCATGCTGGCGATCCTGTTCCACAACATTCCGTTCGGCTCGCCGGCATGGCGGGTTAACTTGCTCTCCGTCTTCCTGTCGACCGGCTGCGCATGGTTCCAGTTCCACTCGGTTGTGCTGTGGGAGGAATCCCTATCGAAGGACAGAGGAGGGAAAGGAGGGAGGAGGATGTGGGAGTGGACAGTGAGCGTGTGGGCAGGCGTGCTGACGTCCCTGCTCATGGCGTTCTGCCCTCTGCTGTGGATGTACTCGATCCAGGCTGAAGTGTTCGCCATGAACAACTTCTTCGTTTCCCTCTTCCTCTACCTCACAGTGAGGTTCTACATCTTCCGTGAGACCAGGATCGCATTCCTGGGATCGTTGGCCATAGGGCTCGGGCTCAGCAACCAGCACACTCTGATCTTCTACGCCCTCCCCCTGGTCCTCTTCGTGTTCATCACAGGGTTCAGCGTCCTCTGCTCTCCCAAGAACCTCCTCATCCTCGTTGCCTCCGGTCTTGTCGGTAGATTTATGAGGATGTGCAGGTTGGGAGATTGAGCATATTGAGCAGGCCTCTCCCCCTACGTGTACCTCCCCCTTGCCGGACGGCAAGCAGCCTTCGGAGCCTGGGGGGAGCTGGATACTGTGGATGGGTTTCTAACTCATTTCCTTCGAAAGGAGGTGAGATGAAGACGGGAGATGCAGTTCTGAAGCATTGGAGGATGGAGCAGGAGCAGGAGCAGGAGCAGGAGCAGGAGCAGGAGCAGGAGCAGGAGCAGGAGCAGGAGCAGCATAACATGAAGACGGGCATAGACAAAGGAAGGTAGGGTAGAAATGGAGGGGAAAAGAACATGTCGGGATCAGGATCTTGAAGCGGACGCGACACAGTGTGTTGTTTTGATACGGCGGGATCAAAGACTCAAAGATTTCTCCGTGAGAACGAGGGGCTGATGCTAAGCAGGAGAAGGAGGAGAAGGATAAGAAGGAGAAGCAGGAGCAGGAGCAGGAGCAGGAGCAGGAGCAGGAGAAGCAGGAGCAGGAGCAGGTGCAGGAGAAGAAGCAGGAGGAGCAGGTGCAGGAGCTGCTCTCTTGTTCTCACGGCAATTCTTTTCCTAGTACGGAACATTCAGACTGTACTCAGGAAACGAGAATTCAAAGGTACGTTTGTGGAACAGAGGAGGAGGGAAGGGGGTGGAGGGAAATCCGAGTAATGTCGTGTTTGGGGCTCTTTCCTTCTTTCCTTCCTTCTCTCCCCTCCTGTCCTATCTCCTCCTCTCCCCTTTGTCCTCCTTCTCTCCGCGTCTCTCCTCTCCCACCATGATCATCGGCTAACGCACCATCATCATCGTCAGATAGGTGAACAGCTCTGGGAAGCTCTCTTCCTGTACGTCAAGAACTTCACCTTCGAGTCGACCCTCGTCATCGGACCTTTCTTCTTCGCCGTCGGTCTGTCGCGCGTCGTCGTCGACTGTTTCTCCTCGCGCAGGTCCCAGCAGCCCTCCCTCTTCCCTCCTCCCTCCTCCCTCTTGCGCACCCTCGACTCCTCCTTCCGCTTGACAGCTGCTGGTGGTGGTCACAATTCCTGTCTTCTCCTTCTTCTACATCATCATCATCATCATCATCATCATCATCATCATCATCATCATCATCATCATCATCATCATCATCATCATCTTTATCATCGTCGTCATCATCATCTCAATCATCATCATCGTCTACATCACCATCATCATCGTCATCATCATCATCATCTCTTTTTCTCTATCTCACATCAGCCTCAGGCTCAACACCGCTGGATTTGCCTTCACATGCAGCTTCATCTTCTACATGGGTAACAGCGAGCATGTTTGCACGGCGGCTGACGTTTTCCAGTTGTCTTTCACTGTCTCTCCAACCTTCCTCTTGACCAGCCCCTCTACTTCGGAGTCCACATGCGGTTTTGGATGCAAGGGCATATCATTGCCTTCATGCTCCTTGGTGTGGGTGCCGCGAAGATCTGGAGGTTTGTAGGTGAGGTGAAGGAGGAAAATGTATGCTGCTGCTGCTGCTGCTGCTGCTGCTGCTGCTGCTGATACATGCCTGCCCGCATCTGCTCCTGAACCTGCACCCTCATCTGTGCTTTCCCTTGCATGTTCACCTGCTCTTCCCTCTCTCGCTTCCTCTCACTCCTGCGCTGGCCCCTTCCTGCAGCTCCCACACAAGAGAAGTTGAAGGTCGGTGGTAACGACCATGTCTAGGATCCATGAGGAACGTGGCAGCAGCGATCACTACCATCGCCCTGTGTGGGCTACAAGTAAGAAGTTCTGCTCGATCGTCTCCTCCCCTCGCCCTCGCCCTCGCCCTTGCTCCTGCTCCTGCTCCTGCTCCTGCTCCTGCTCCTCCTCCTCCTCTTTGTGTACGCGTGCGCCTCTCGTTTCTCATCAACGTATCTGCTACTCCAGCTGATCTGATCAACCAGGTTGGGCTGCATTACCGTGCGATGGATCAAAGTCAAAATCGGTTTGTGTATCGTTATGGGTTGATGCACATTGAGAACCTGCCAAAGAATGCGATCCTGATTGTCAAGGTGAGAGGTTTTGAATGAGAAGGATTAATGGGATAGAGTTGTTGATGTTGATGATGATAATGATGATGATTGAGATGATGATTGAGATGATGATTGAGATGATGATTGAGATGATGATTGAGATGATGATGATGATGATGATGATGATGATGATGATGATGATGATGATGATGATGATGATGACGATGGAAGTAACGGTGCAGATGGTAATGAAGATCGCAATGGAGCTGATGATTGAGATGATGACGATGATGTTTGTTGGGATATCACGAGAGTGTCACTGGCTGAGCTTCTGACCTTTTCAAATCAGGGTGACGTCATTACGAACTCCATCCGATACCTTCAGGTTTGCAACACAAACACGAATACATCTGTTTCATTGCAAACGCTGAGTTGCAGTGTTGATGAGAAAAACGAATGATGATGATTGAGATAATGATGACCATCAAATGTTCATGCTCGATTATTGTTTTAAGGATATTCCCGATCGTGCCATCTCACAAACATGTTTGTAGCGATGTGAAGGGTTTCGTCCGGACGTTCAACATCTGGACCAGTCGATGATGACATACGAATGGTTTGTCAAGAAGCAGGTAATGTAACATGTGATTGTTTACATCTAACATCATCGAACACTCGAACACCTGAAATTTAATACCCAAACACAAACCTTCTACCTTGCAACAATAACATCTCACTCATACCAACCACCTAACCACCAAATCATCTCTTCACGGATCGTCTTCTTCATCTCC